ATTCCCCGGCGGTTTCTTCTCCAGGCCCTGATCAGCCCCCAGTCTGGCTTAGCTTTGGTTAAAGTCCTACTTCAGGGGCTTCCAGACCATTCCCTGCAAACCCACCAGGGCAGGCAAAGAGCTGGGTAGGAACAGTGCCTCTGTTCGGGGGATGCTGCTCTTGTGTGGGGCAATGGAGTGTGGCTGGAAGGACAGCACCTCTCCAGGCTTCTGTTATCCTCTGATACGAATCCTTAGCTAGTTCAGCCTTCCCCAGCTCGAGGCTCTCGAGATGAACTGCATTATGTCTCCCATAATCCCATTATGGAAGTTGCAGTCAACTTGTGTGGAAGGCCTCCAAAACTGTGGGAGACCGAAGTAGCTATTAATACTAGATTTTGAAAAGCAACCCAAGCCAAGGACGTCGTGCAAAGGTTTGCAATATGCAGCTGTTCTGTTAGGCAAACCCTGCAAACAGCTGTTGTTTTTTTGCCTTCCAGACCCTCTCCCAAATGGGAAATAGTTCAGCTTTTGAATCCCCGGCCTGGAGAAATGCTGAAAGACTCTGAAGTTTCAAGCCGATTTCTTTCAAAGCCGGTGTCCTAGACGCAAACAAAAAGCCCATTGATGTGAAGGTGGAGGGGGCAGGGATATGTTCTCCTTTCACACACACCCCTCCCCTGTTTTCATTGGTTCTTTTCTTCTCACTTTTTGGTTCGCAACTGTGAAAGAGGCTGCAATGTTGGGCTACCATGTGGTGCGATGCAGCTGGTTCCACACATGCTACAAATAAAGGTCAGTAAGTGTGCCCTATTTTTAGCACTGGGAAGCAAATGCCATGGAAGTCACACGAACTGTTCATTTCCGCAGCCTGTCTTTTTCACTTCCCTAGGAAGTGGATGTCTCTAGGACAAGAGACGATGTGAAATTCAGTTTTCCATTGCTGGATTTGCTCAGTCTCAGGTCCCAGATGTTGTTGGATTATGACTCCCATCCCCTTCAACCAGCATGGGCAATTGTTCATCCTTGGTGAGAGCTGCTGTCCAACAGCACTGGGAGAAAGTTGTTCTAGCTGTTTGCATCCTCTGCATCCTCAACCCAACAGTCTGTTTCCTTCCCACCAAGAGCACCCAATGCATCCACAGCATCCCAATGAGCAGTTGCTCAGACTAACTTTTCCCATGTCTATGATACCCACCATTTATTTGCTCATCCCATTTCTTTCCTCCCTTTCCTTCAAGGAGTTCTAGTGAGTACACAGGATCCTCCTCTCCATTTTATTTCCACAGCAACCCCTGTGAAGAAGGCTGGTGGACGGAAGAAGACAGCTAGGACATCCTCTGGAGGCAGGTGGGCCAACTGATCATCTTACTGCCTGCCTGGGACTTGTTTAGCTGCTTGGGAGAAGATTTCTCCTGGCTGAAACTGAGGTGGGGGAGCACATGGGACAGAGAGAGACAGAGAGAACACTCTCCTAGGTGAATTCCTTGCAGCTTTGAGACAGCTCTGAGGGTTGCCTGGAAAGGCTCTTTTGCTGCCCAGCAATACAGGACTTTGTTGAGAGCTGCTTCTGGGGGTACAGAAGGGCAAAGATCACCTCCCTAACACTGGCTGGTTTTTCTTTTAAAATGTTGTTATATTCCAGGAAGAGAGGATATGGGGCCGAGTTGGGAGTGGAAAGTAATGCACCACAGTGCTTTTGCTCCTCCTTGGATGGATGACTCCAGAAACTAACACTTGGGGAATACTGCCTGGCTTTGTGAATTGCCCAACATGGGATTTCACAGTTGTCGTTTTGTCCCCCATGCTATTTAACTTCTACACGAATCAGCTGAATTTAATCACCCATAGTTTTGCAGTGCACTTCCATCAGGACGCTGATGGCATGAAGTCCTATTTCTCCTTTGCTTCTCCATGGGGTGAGGTCGTGGGTGTGCTAGATTGGTGCCCGGCTGTGGCAATGGACTAGGCGTGGACTCAAAAGCAACTCCATCCAGACAGGTGGTATTAAGGGGCACTTTTTATGCCTGGATGGGGAAGAAGCATGTCCATAGCCTGGGGTTTCTCCCACAGTCATCTCTACCACTTAAAAAAAAGCTCTGCCTTCACATCAGTCAGTATACGCATATGCCAAGGCAAGGTAAGGCAAGAACTTAAAAGTCTAGTTCCCCTACATATTATCCCCTTTCCAACCCTGCCTACTTCTGCATTTGTGTGTAATGCAAGCTTACCTTTTCAACACAGTGGAAATTATGCTGTATTCATTCACCTATGCCCCAAATGTGTTAAATGCACTTTGCAGAAAAACTGTGCCAAGGCTCCAGTGCAGATCAGCCTCTGGCGATTCTGAAGTGCTTTAAACCTCTGCTTCTATCAGACAATGGTGAGGAAAGTTGGGAATTGTAGTCCAAAACACTTGGTGGGTACCAAAATGAGAAAGTTTGCTCTATGTGTTGCCTTTCAGTAGCTATAAAACAGTAGCTGTTTTAAAAATTATTTAATCCCCTACATGGATAATACCTTTGTGTTGGAATACACACAGAGATGAACATATGTTACAAACACAGGCATATCTATTTTATTTGTGCTGAGAAACCTCAGCCAGATTGCAACTTCTCTTGGAGAAGAACACATACTGAACCAGGTACATGTCTGTGATTCTTTTCCTACTTGGAAATCCTATTTATTGCAAGCATCCTTTAGTCATGAGCAAATCACTCAGCTGTGAAGAGGTGCATTCTCTTTTTCACAACCAGATTCAAAACCTTACCAAGCCGTGTTACAAAGTTTTTAAGAAATGCAGGTCGTTAATAGCATGACATAACGATTTTCAACCAATTAAGTTAATCCACTCAGTAACTGTCATTTGACTTAAGTACTGTCACTTGCTCCACAGCCATTTTAAGCACTAGAAATGTGTAAATTCTTCTTTTTTCAACACTACCAGTGAACATGTAGGTTTAGGGTTTGCTACAGATGTGCCAACTCTCACACAGTGGAAGGATTATAAAGATATAATCATACACAATATTTCAGTGCTAGATATCAGAACATATTATTTATTTATTACCCTTTATCTTACGGCACCATAGTGGCTTAGAAAGTGTTTTATTTTAATCCTAGTAAAGCCACAATTAAAAAGGAAAAAGATCCACAAAATAAAGAAGAACACTATCCAATTTTATAAGCCTTTATAAAATGCCTTGACATTTTAAAAAGGGGTTTCCCTAGTTCCAAAAAGACTAATGTCTGTACCAGTTGAACATCGATCAGGTAAGCATTACACAGACGGGGGGCCAAAACAAAGCTAATTCTCTCTTTTGCTGTCACTTAATGCACCAAGGTTGTAGGAATCAGTACACATCTACATTTTCTACCAAGAAAACCTGAAACACAGGAAATGACTTTAGAAAGAGTCAGAAGGTTGGTTCATTGAGCTCAGTACTGCCTATAGCAGGGTTGGGGAAACTCTTCTACTGTGGAGGTCAAATTGTACTTCAAAGATCCTCTTGATAGTAACATTCCATGAGTGGAAAGGGTAGAAGACAAAGGAACTGGGGCTAAAGGCAGAATGGATGAGGCATACATCCAAGATCTTGCAGCATAAATCTCATATCCTCCAGGAGGGGGTCCACATAAGCCCCAAGGGGAAAAAGTCATGGCAGCTTCTTTACCCTGGCATCTCTCCATGCACTGCATGATTTTCCAAGCTACCTTCATGCAGCATTTGGAGTAACCACTATTTACAGCCACGAAAGAAATGGCAACTGGGTAAAAGGAGGTTGGATCAGGGGAATGAAGCAAAGCCCCCTGGAAACCCAGGGGGCAAGATTCGGCCTTCAGGCCTCAGGTTCTCTGTTCTTGACCTATTCCAGCAGCAGCTTTTCAAGATCTGCGATCAGCCCCTTGGGTTTCCAGCTATACCTACAGATCCCACAATGCATGAATAAAAAATGGGTGCAGGTTTTTTGTGCTCCTTTGCAAAGAGAAAAGCATGCCCTCTGCCATTAACTATCACACAGCCACCATGCGTCCTTCAATGGCACCTTCACCTGGCTGCAACATCTTGCATCAACAGGGGGGAGAGAAGGTCAGATCTACTGTACAGGCCAAAACAAGATACAGGCAGCAGTTTTGTGAATATAATCCTCATCCCGCAGAAGGAAGAAGGGCAAGGGTCTTACGGATGAGCAAAATACAGAGGCTGAATCCAAAATGTGGTCCCTCAGATCCACCGAGCAACCCAGAACATAAAACATAAAAAGCTGTGATGGATCAGAGCAAAGGCTAATGTCAGCCTGCTCCACACCGCTGCCTCCCAGAAGCGCTGGGCTGAAATTAAATCTCAGCCAGACTGTGTTAGAAAAGCAGCTCTTGGAAGCCTCGGCTAGCTGGCTCGGAATTAGGAAGGACGCTGTGCCAACGCACATTGGCTGGGAATCAGGGGAGTCGCAGTTCAACTTACGTGGAGAGCAGCAGGTTGTGGAAGGCTGGTGTATCTCACCAGCATTCCACTCCCAGTAGCCAGCTGGGAGACCACAAGCTGCAAGAAGCAGGGAGCCCGCAAGCAGTGTGGCCTACTGGTTAGAGTGCTGGACTGTGGGGTTGGGAGAGCTGGGTTCTAGTCCCCCCTCGGCCACAAAGCTCTCTGGGTAACTTTGAGCCAGCTACAAACTCTCAGTCTAACCTACCTCACAGGGCTGTTGTTGTTGCAAGGATAAAATGGAGCTATGTAAGCTATTTGGGCTCCTCCACGGAAGAAAAAAGGGGAGATATAAATGCAGTGTGATGATAATGCAATGTAACAACAACAATAATACAGTCCCCTCTGAGCTGTTTGTCAGGTAAGGTACACTGCTTTATCTTGTCCCTTAGCTGAGGGAGTTGCTAGGGAAAGCCAGGCTGGGCAAGGGTGTAGCTCAGGGGCACTTCTATTATAAGCTAAGCACACCACATCGATGGATATAATGCCAGGAGCTGTGCAGGTGTCTTCTGCTCCCCTTCCCCGCACCTCACTTTACCTGTTTTCTGGATCCGACACGGCCAGATTCCGGGTCACGTAGCACATTTTGAGCGGTATTGTCTTCTTGTCTCTGTTAATGGAGAGAGGCAGCTGACAGAGGGGATCCATGGAGGCATTTCCCAACCGGGGGGATTCAGGTGGGGGAGTCTCCCAGCCGATTTCCGAAACCGGAGAACCTTTCTTCACATACGGGGTGGCTTCTCGCATGTACTTCACTGTAAAAAGGGAGAAGGAAGAAGAGCAAACGAATGGTAAGTAAACACAGATAAGCAACTGAAAGTGTGATGTTACTCAATATTTTGATCAGACTTCCCCAACCTGGTGCCCTCACTCTACTCATTGCAAGAGATCATTGATCTAATGCAGACCCTCCCCAATCGAATTCCCATCCAACATGGCCCATTGCTGGCCAGCGCATGCTGGGGACAGTAGGACTTCTGTGTCTGAAAATGCACAGGATTGTACCTTTAGATATGTTTGTAGCAAAGGGTTAATTGATGCCACCTCTCCTCTCGCTCCGTTCTGGGCACCAAGGACTGGTTAAGGTTTTTTGGTTTTTAATCCTCCCATGCTCCTAAAAAGCACTCTTTCAACTAAAGTCTGATTAAAGGAAACAAAGATGCCACTGACAATGAACATGGGCATTCATGCAAAAAAAGGCAATGACAAGACTTTGACTTCTTTTTAATAGGAAAGGGGTGCAAATGTACGGGGACAGAGTCTGGCATAGGCTATGATGGCCCCCAATTTCCATTACACGAGCTTCACGCAGGCCAGGGCTATCTTGTTCTTTCTCTTCAGCTCAAAACCTCTTAGAGAGAGGGAGCTTTCAAAAAAATGTTTCCAGGGGATTTCGCTGGAGGGTGGAGTTGATACAGAGTTTAGCGAGTGTACTAGCTATAAGCACAAGCTAAAAGCGCAAGTTCCTGCTTCAGATTTAAGCTCAGGAATGAGTATGTTTACACCTCACTGTCCACAAACTTTTTGCATTATGCAAAGAACAAGCAAACTCATGTGATGAATTATTATTATTATTATATTGATTTCATTTCTATGCTACCCCTTAGGCAAAGTTCTTTGGGCTGTTCACACCAGTTCATACAAACAATACAATAAAATGCCTTAACAACTTATCAAACTACAAACAATTTAAGCAAAAAGTTAAGAAAGCATACCATGAAGAATAGTCCTGTAAAAACACTTGGGTTGGGTAATCCCCACAAGCTCTTGGATATCCCAATACATCTTTCAAAAACTCAGCATAAAGGACAATCTTAACCTGGTGCTGGAAAGCTGGGAAGGTTGGTGACAGGTCTGGCTCAGTGGAGAGATCATTCCACAGATGTGGGGGCCACACAAAGAGAGCCCTCCCCTTAGCGGCTGCCCTCCAAGCCTCCCTTGGAGTTGGCCCTCAGAGGGAGGTCCTGGACATTGAGTGTAATGCCATAAAAACCATTTTGCTGTGATAACAGTATCACTGTTATTTTAGACCTGGAAGGAAATTAAACCTGAACCTGTCAGCGATTTAGCAAAACTAAAATCACTAGGTTATCAAACTGTTTACTGTTTTATTTCTATATAGCCTTACTGGAAAAACTCAAAAGCAGTGTGCGGTGTGTGTGTGTCCACGCAGGCACACAATTCATGGACACAGTAATTGTTTTTACCTTGTCAGACAGCTCAGTAACAGTTCTAACAGGGGAGAATTTACCTTCCTACAAGCAAATCAAACTGGCAGCCTACAAACAGAAGTCTACATTTTAAAATTAACAACCCTGCAAACACGAAAGAGGCAGGCTCCTGGTCTCACAAAGCTTAATTCTTCATGCAACAGCTTAGACCAGGCTCCTTAAAACGTGCATTTATGTATGTATGTATGTATTAAAACATTTCTACGCCGCCCCTTGCCAAAGCCTCGGGGCGGCTCACAGCACAAATAAAATACAATAAAATACAAAAATAACAATATAAAATTAACAATATAAAATAAATAACAATATAAAAGAAGAGAAGAAGAAGAAGATCAGGCAGGGAGGAGATGACTGACTGAAGCGGGAGTGATAGATTGAAATCTAAACAACAGCCTGGAACATTCAGATTGGAGTGCAATTCCCAGGATACCATGAAGAAGCATAAATATTGTTCCCTTGCATCCTGCCAAGATGCCTAGTTTCCATATAGTTCAGGAGTGACATCACCGCAGGCAGCTGATTAATGTCTTCAAGTGAAGAGACATCAGAGATGATTTAACAAGGAAGGCAGGTGAGAAAGAATCAGTTTCAGCTAAACTTAAGCCCAAAGCTGTCCTAGAGCATGTGTTTTTTTTGCCCTCTGAGGGAACATATTACCTTATAGCATTTGTTTACCATGAAATAAAAATACAGATGTGCCATCTGAACACGGCATATGGATAAGCTCTTGTCTGGGATTTTGCTTATGGATTTGTGAATGTTTTTTTTAGTACTGGAGCACTGTCAAAGATGCAGTAAGAGTCATATTTCAAACAGTTGGGATCTAGGAACAATTATGGGGAGCAGGTCGTCACTCCAACTGGGCCAGAAGCAGGTGTGTAGTCCCAAACTGGCAGGCATCAAGACTGAAGAAAGCCGTTGTGGAATGAACACACATTGAAAAGAGTGGCCAAGTCCACACGTCATGCCCAGCACAGCCACGAACAAGTGGGAGTGAGGGAAAGTGCTGGATCTCACAGAGTTAGATGGTGGGAAGAACGCCCCAGACCTGTAACCCACGGTTTGTTCATAGGTTACAAGGCTTGGTTGTTATGCCCTCAACCATCTCGAGTTCCGGGTCTGCACATCATAGTAAATCAGATCAGGTGCAGAGCAGGTTGTTGACCCCAGCAGGAGCAGGTAAGGCAGGATCCAGCACACTGCTGCACTCTCAAGAGCCCAGAGTTAATAAACAGTGGGTTGTTCTCAGCATGTGAACCTTCAGTGCCTTCACAATCAGAAATGCTCAAAGCACGAACTCTGAGATTAGGCCTTGATGAAGACTTCAAGGAAAATCTGGAGCCACATAAGTAAAACTCTGTCTCCATGCAATGGGGTATCTGGATACAGACAGAGCCACTGGCGGGAAAGCAGGGGTTGGAGCTGCGTTTGTTTGCACATAGGAAAGAGAGTATGCCTTTCTCTTACCACTTCTGATGGATCTACAATGCACAGATAAACCATGGCAGGGGAGGGGCTTTGTATGATGCTTGTTCACAAAATTTGGTTGACACAAAAATATTCTGGCCATTGGTGCTTGCCTGGCAATCACAATTATGAAAGACAATTTCCATACACTTAATTCACATGGAAAACACAGCAGAGATCTGTCATATAAAAATGTTGCCAGTGAAACAAATATAAACCATGTTTCGCATAACAAACAGCTCTCTAGCGATCCAGTGAATGATTACATGGTCACCAGCTAGTCAGTATTTTTCTTCACCTCAAAGAATTTTCAAACACCACATTTATTCATCCATCCATTCCTTCATCCATTCAGCCTTTCCACTTGTAAAACATTCAAGCAATATCTTTAAAAATAGATTAAAAACCATCTGTGGAAACACTGCGTAAATTGACGCAGACAGGAACAGAGATAAAAGAATATGAAACAACACAATTATCAGGTGAACAGATTAAATGCCTGTTTTGTAGGAGTCTTCTTTAGGCTGGATGCGATGATAAAGAAAAAGAGCTTGTGTGTGTGTGCATGTGTGTGTGTGTGTGTGTGTGTGCGTGTCCATCCTTTGGGACATCGTAGAAAATCCCTAGTGTGGGCCTGGGCCATGGTATAATATTAGAAACAGAATTTAAATAGAGACTTTTTTCATGATTCCTGTGATTGAGTGTATGCACTAAGATTGTGGTGTGTGTTTGGGCGGTAGCCACGTTAAAAGTCTGTACCGCGCTCAAGTTGGATACATTGGTAAAAAGAGAGCATTTGCTTTGCGAGGACTTACGTTCAATCCATGGCATCTACAGGTAAGACTGGAAATATTTTTGCTTGGAGAGTGCTGTCGTACTTTAGCAGCACTTCCTATATTCTGGAAAGCTCTGAAAGTTACAATTTGTCTAGCTCATATTACTGGGATTGTCAAGCAGAGCTGCCTGTGTTTTGCATTCCCAAACAATTACTGCACTTGCTGCCACTTTTTAATCTGGCACAAGGAACATCTGAAGATGCAAGGCTAGGTATTTTGGAAGACACACACACAGCCTGATTAGTCTCAAAGGACCCCTTCCCACTTTAAAAGCCAAAACTCTACATTGTACATTCTACAGGCCGGCATAGGTTAATGGCTGCCCTTCAGTTTCTTATTAGCTGGCTTCTTGTTCCATCAGGAAGTGATGCGTCGTGGCTTTCAAGGTTTTAAAGAAGTTCAATAAAGTTGATCAAGCAGGATAAGAACTAAAATGTTCTCCTTCACAAGGAACCTTTTGACAGCTTAACCTATCAAAAGAGGCTCAGACTTTGGCACATCTCCATAGGAACACCGGATGATCTACCCTGAGTATGTAATTTGCAGCCAGCAATTATCTAGTCGATTTTAACCTGCTCCATTGCTACACAATCAAGTTTTCCCTCAACTCGTGCAGCTGATCCTGCAACCTCTTCTAGGTTAAGGTCTAAATCATCACATACCAATTAATAATCCATGGTCTCTTTGTGCATGGCAAATTAAAAATTGCGGTCAAGCAATTAAAATTCCAATGTTCCGTTCCTTCCTTGCCTCTCTAAAAATGACAAAAACCAAAGCAAGTGGCAATTGAATGAATTAATCTGCTGGCATATGTTGAGAGCTTCGTATCTGTTGTTTGATTTGCAAGGCAGCCTGTACAGCATTTCAAAAGAGCACTTTGTTTGTGCACAATTCCGCCAGCCTGGCCCAACCATTTCCGCAATTAATCCTTTGTCACTGTTCACAAATGACATTTTGAAAGAATGGGAGAAGAAAAAAGCAAGCCTCTAACAGGATAAGGCAAACAGGTGAATCTGATCAAATCTATCAAGTATCCTTCTCTAAGAGGCTTTTGGAATGTCTTTTTAAGACTCAGGCAAGTTAGCAATAAATAAATAGATAGACAGACAGACAGACAGACAGACAGACAGACACTCCAAAAGGAAGAAAGACTCAAGGCTTCTGTGGATCATCTTTGTTCTTAGAGGAAAGTGAATATGAAGTGGTGGCTTATGGAATGAA